ACTTCCTTAAAAGGGAGAAAATGGAGAAGAGACAGGAAGGGGAAGGAAAAGAGGGGTTTAGTCCGTTCACAGAAGCCACACACGTTTCTAGAGGAGGAAGGATGGGGCCTCTCTGCCCCGCCCTGCCATGTGCCCTGATGACCATGCCGGGGGTTGGGTTCTTCAGTTCAGCACACAGGGGTCCCTGGCTCCACATCGGATGTGCCTTGTGCATGACACTAAGTCTCCAGGCCTTTCTGCATGGAATTCCACTCCTACACTTCATTACTCAGAGGATGTGCAAGAGAACAACGGGTGCTCTAAGGTCGCTTGCTTGCTCTGCAGTGGGGCACGGCATGTTGTTCTGGGAAGGTAGGAGTAATGCAAAAACCAATCCAACGTATTCCATGCATGGGAAAAAGGCATGGAAAGTACAATAGCAACTCTTTCCTTTAAGCGTAAGCTCCAGCAACTTTCCGTCGGGCGACCTCTCCCATTGGATGGCTTCAAGATCGGCTCTGCAGTCACTCAGGTGTGAAATGGGCCTCTAATATGCCTTTCTTTCCCACTATTATGCAAAGTAGTTATTTTTGGCTCAGCTCAAATGTGAAAAATTGTAGTGTAAAATAATTTTTAAGAAAATTTTTAAGTGTAAAAATGGATATGCATATGTCATGTTTTTTAATGTTCTGCTCTAAGCCGAGCCAGTGGTCTAGAAGCTGGTGTACAAAGATGCATTTATTCACACAATATATCCAAGCCCCTACCATGAGCTAAGTGTGTTGGGGCACTGTAGTAAGGTTGATGGAAAAGGGGTACGAGATTTCTCTCTCTCACTATGCTGACGTGGGTGGTGACGCCATTGTACCTACCCTCCCTGGCTTCATGTTAACAGGCTATGTTAGCAGGACATGAAAATACAATGGAAGCACCAAAGGGAGGGAGGGTTCATTTCAACTGAAGGAGTGTTCCTGTCCTCTGAGCTTAATCTGCCTGCAGTAGTTGCTGAAGGAAACTAATAATCCAAGGTCATCAGGAAACCCACTTCATTCCTGAAGTCCCCATGGGCTGGTAGGGGACCCCAGTGGGTATCCAGAATTTAGTGAGTGAGTTAATCCAGGACTACATCTCAGATGCTGCCCCAAACTCAGACAATTCCTTCTCGGTCAATTTACTCTGCTCTCAGACCTCGGAATTCCTTTCAAGTCAGTGAATCCTGGGCATGTTCTAGAGCTCTCTGTGCTTCTACTCCCTGTCCCCTCTCCAGCCCAGTCTCCACCACAGCAGAGCTTCCCAGTCCAGCCTGGCAGTGGGTAACTCAGCCATGGCTTCACTTTGAGATTCTGGCCTTCAGGGTCCCCTGGGCTTCACTCAGCAGTGTCCCTGCTGGGCCCACCGCTGAGTTTGGGGTACACCATCTGGAGCTCCCGCTGTGGCTCCTCTGTGTGTGGGAACAAGTAATTAAATCCACACAAAGAAATAAAGCCCTTGCAGATGAATCCCCCTCTCCCCCGGGACAACTTTATAAGTGCTGATGGCATTTAATGTCCTTCATCTCTGCCAAGGAAATCTACTCTGGAAACTTTAATTGAAGTTGTCCAGTGAAAGCATCCTCGAGTGCTTTACCCCTCCAGGACGCCCTCCTCCCTGCTGCCATTGGCACCGGGAGCACTCGATTAAAACCCAGAGTCCCCCACCACTGACTTCCTACTAATGAAAAAATTCCTCTGCGTTCCGTATCCAGGGCCAGACCCTCCTGAGATTCAAATCCTCTTTGTGTCCAGCTTATGTCCAGCTGCTGCCATGATAAACAGTCCAACTCCAGGGAGCCTGGGGAGGCTCTACCCCATGAAACGAATCACTCGATTATTGACCACACAGGGAAGCAAACCTGAGGAAATGTGTAAGGACCAACTCAGACACACCAGGCTGGCTACTTTGTGTCTGGTGGGAGGTGCCTGGGGAATCTGTCAGTTACAGAGTAGGAAACACTGCAAGTGTTTTTCCCTTGGAATAGACACACATGCACATAAAAATTCCCCAAAACAAGCAGCAATCTCCCAACATACTGCAATTTTGTTTTCTTTTTTACTGTTTAACCAGTCAGTGGTTTCCAGTGCCATCTGCTTAGCTACCTTCTTCCTTAAAGCACCCGCCATGTTCCCACCTTTTCCTTTCTAGGCTCTAGTTTATTATGTAACTCCTGTCGCTTTGGTCTGGTGTTGAAGCACAGCCAAGTGTTCAGCCTGCGCTATGGGCTAACTCACAGCAACTTATCATATCTCCCTGTGGTTACCTTGGGAATGGTCCAGGCCACCATGAGGCCAGTGAAGGAGCAGCCTGGCCTTTTGAGACAGAGGGAAGTCAACCCCATTAGCCTGCAAAGGGCTTGCAGCTTTGGTCAGTGGATGAGCTCCCTCTTCATCCTGAGCCCACAACGGACAGACCCAATTGCTGAACAGGAAAACTTGGAACAAGTCTGGACTACCATCTTGCCTACCTTCCCAGCAGTCTCTGGGTATCCAGTAAATTCCATTTCTGTCAACCTTCCTTTCTCAGTTTAAATCCTGGGTCCTCTGTGGCAAGAATTGTCAGAAAGGCTTTGCAGCATACCTGATGAATTCTCTTTAGACCTGGCCAAGGTGTGACATTTGCGGGAGCTGGGTCTCCTAGAGAGACTGTGTGGGCCATCTAGGAAATGATCCTACATGTAATAAAGCTAAAGGATGAGTCTGTGGTCAGCATCCCTGCCCGTGCCTCTCCCCAAGTGACCCTTACTCATCAATCAGCAGTTATGTAGGTGGTATAGGTTGTGACTAGGCTGGGGAGTCTTCTGCGAAGAGCTTGGGAGAGGTGTGAGACGGGTTCTCTGCACTCAGTCGTCTACAACCCAGCCCCGCCTACCTTGCCAGCTTCATCTGCCACTACTGCCTCCATGCTTCGGTACACCAGTGCCCCAAACTGCTCAGAACTGCCTCCATGCCTTTGTTCCAGGCAGTCTATCTGCCCAGTCACCCTCTGTCTGCCTTTCTCTTTCCTCTGACTTCACCAGGGTATGTTAATTCATCCTCCAAATTTCAGCTCAGGCATCCCTTCCTCCAGGATTCCTTCCTGGACATCATCCCCCAACCTGTTCTCTGCTTTTTCAGTAGCATCCTATGCATTTCTCCATCATGGCACTTGCCAAATGACGTGGAAAGTAGCTGCCTTGTGGCGTGTCTCTCCCACAAGTCTCTGAGCTCCTGAAGGGCAGGGACCGTGTCATCTTCATGTCTCACTGCTCAGTCCCCCGTGCGGCATCACAGGAGCTCTGTGACGATGTGCTTTGAACTGGACCAAACTCCAGGAACTTGTAACTCGGGAGATTTTATATATGTATGTATACATACACAATAATCAAGTGCTAAATGGTGTGGAGCAGACTAGACTGGGCTCTCACCAAGGTCCACCATAGACCAACACCACCCTTTTCAGCCCCTTTCCTCAGGGCCCCTACCCAGAGGCGGTCTCGGTACCCGATCAACAACTGCAGAGAAGGACTGAGGGAGGCCGTTTTCAAAGTGGAAAATGATTAATAGGCCAGTGGGTTGCTCATTTATCTCCAGCCAGAGTCTTCTGCTTAATTCTGCTCCCACAGGTGCCACTTTGCCACGTTGCTGGCAGAAGCAAGCACTTATGTCCAGCCTAATGTAAGAAAGGTCACACTTCAACACCAGGCACCTGCCCACCTCTGGTAGCACTTCTCACACTGCTCTGAGTTCCAATTCTTAATATTCATACTTCACCATCTGAGGCTTTGCTATTAATTGGTACTTTATTACATTTCTAAAGCTCCTATATATTCCAGGAATTGTACTGATCAATTCCCATAAATTATCTCATTTGTTTTTCTCAATAACCCTGTGAGGGAAGTCTTATTAAGCTCATTTGTCAGATACAGAGAATATCTTACTGCGTTCAAAGGGATTCACACTCGTGGTCTCATTAAACCTCATGCCCTGTGATGTAGGTGTTTCAGCCGCACATTATAGATGGGTATACTGAGATAGTGACTAAGTAGATTGCCTGAGTCTTACAACTAATCAAAGGCAGAACTAGACCTGAAGACCTAGGTTTTTAGACGTGAGGAGCAGGTGTCCCTCTCACCACACGGCTCTTCTCTGTTTCCATAACACCAGACTGATAACAAATTCCAGGAAATGTTCATGGCTGAGAAATACCTTTTTCACTTGGACCTTCAGGGGTGAATGCAATTTCATTAAACACTGAATATTCGTGTAGAATGGGAATTTAGAGAACTATTTCCAAACCCGTTCATTTTACAGAAGAGGAAACAGCAAAGACTATATAGTTTCAATGTTAATCTGTGCTGGCATGGTCTCCGATTCCCCACAGTAACCCTGTGCATAGGAGGCGTTATCCGCATTTTCTAGAGGAGGCTGACCAGAGGCTTAGGGAGTTTCAGCAACTTGTCCAATGTCGCTCTGCCAGGAAGGGACAGAGCTGAGTCTAGAGCCTCTTGACCAACACTGTGATCAACACTGGAGATTAAGCATTCAAATGAGAGGTGAGTATTGTTCTGAGAAATGTTTCAGGTTTTATAGCCAGCGAGGTTTCTCAGCACTGATTAAGAAAAAAAAGCTTGGTATGTACTTGTTTTCTTAGTGATTGTCTGACCTCTTGTGGCTGGCTTTAGGCATTGTAGTTTCTGATAACTAATTCTTGGAATAACAAAGAATATCCAAGTTGGCAAAATAATTAAATAAACTACTAAGAATTAAAGATATTTAAATCATAATAAAAGTCTTCTTCCTTTCTTCACCAGAGTCTCAAACTCAGTTTTATGAGAATACTAATACACTTTCAAGAAACAGATAATTCTTACCTTACGAAGTTGTTGCACAAGATAGAAAAAGGCGAGGCTGTTTAATTCACTCTATGTGATTAGTATAATCATGACTCAGTAAATTATAGTCCTATTTAGTTTATGAATTTTCATGCAAAAAATATTTAATAAAATATTAACTTACTGAATCCAACAATTTATTAAATATGATACAACATGATCAAGTTAAGTAATGCAAGGATGGTACAGTATCAGCAATTTTATCAATGTAATTTACTCCTATAATGGAGGGAAGATAGAAGGAATGTGACTATCTCAATAGATGCAGAAACAAATCACTTAATACATTTCTAAACTTTTCTGATAAAAACTCAATAGCCTTCTCAAAGGCTACAGCAAACATTATGCTTAAATGGAGAAATGTTCTAAGCATTCCATAATACTGGGGACAACACAAGAACGCGCATCATCCTAGTGACTACTGTTTAATGTATACTGGAGGTCCTGGCTAATCAAGTAAACACAGAGAGTAAATAAGACACGTAAGTATTGATAGGAAAGAGAACAAAATGTTACTATTTACAGCGACAAAATCATTTACATAGAATTTACAATTCAATTTACAATAGAATCAACAGGTAAACCAGTAAGTCTAATGAAAGTGTAAACATTTTTCTACTGCCATAGCCTGCTAGAAATGTAATAAAACATAAGACATAATTTATAACAACTAAAAATAAAGAATGAATTCAACAGAATATACAAGACTTCTATGGTGAAAATTTATGATTCCATTAAAGAACAAAAAGGATGACCTGAGTAAATAGATGTAACGTGTGTATGCATGAGAAAACATCACAAGAATGTCACTTGTCCCCTAATTACTCTACAAATTCATCGCAAGTTCATTCAAAATTCCAGCAAGATGTTTTGAGCAACTTAACATATTTATCCTGAAATGTATATGGAGGAATCAAGGTCCAGGAATACCCTACCAGATAATAAGACACTACAAAATCAGGGCATTGGAACCATTGTGATGTATTATAAAGGAGGAACCATAAATCAGAGGGAGGAAAATGAATTATTAAGCAGGTTGAAATGGGAAAATTACCTCAATATGTGTGGAGAAATACTAAGTTGGATTCTTACCATATGCAAAGGTTAAACCCAGATTCATCATTTATTTAACAAATACTTATTGAGCATCTGCTATACATGAAGGACTTTTCTAGACACTGGGGATATGTCAGTTAAAAAGGCAAAAGTCCTTGTCATCATTAAAACTCTGTAGAGGGTAAAAGTATAAAGCTAGTAGAAGAAAATGTAAGATAATTTTTTTCATGATCTTGGAGTGGGGAAGGTCTTAAAAAACAAGAATCAAAAAAAGCACTTGATGGATTTGATTACATCATAATTAAATACGAGTGCACTTTATGACCCACCCATATAGTCCAGAGGAACTTTCTTACACTTCCATAAAGAGACTTGCACGAGGTTGCTTGTCACAGTGTTGTTTCTGGTAGCAGAGAATTGGAACGAACTTGGCTGTCTATCTCTAGAGGAATGGATAAGCAAAATGTGGTGGATGAGTACTATGGAATACCATGCATCAGACAGCAGCACTGAATTAGATGTACACTCAACAATATGAAATAGAACCAAACATAACACTGAGTGAAAATAGTAATAACAGAACTGGAGCAGTAGCACCATATCATGTATGTAAATATAAAAGGTATATATTCACAAGCAATACTGTATATTCTACAAGGGTGCGTGTATACCGAGTGCATATATCAAATAGTATAGAGCTGGTTCCATTGGAGTGAGAATTAGGGATGAAGGGAAGAAAAAGGAAATAAAACAAAAAGAAGGATCTTGTGTGGATTTATGGTGATAGTGAGTTAAGAACTAAGGAAAGTGATTAACTCAACTCTCCATACCTAAATCAAAAAGAGAAAGAGAAAGAGAAAGATTTTTCTTCCTGTAATTGTTAAGAGATGAGATTAGAATCCAGTGATCCTTGAATTGGAAGGTATCTTGGCAGTCAGGCAGTCTAATGTCTACTCAGGACAGGAATAATTTCTCCCACATTCTTGGAAAGTACTACCCTCCACTCGAACTACAACAGAGGGCAGACTGTTAGGGTGTAGGATAGCTCTAGTGGGTTCAGAATTCTTTCTTGTATTGGGCTAAAACTGCCCTCCTGTAGACACCAACCGTTGGTCTGAGTTCTGCTGTCAGGCATTGTACCTGGTTGGTCTTCACCCTCTTTTACAGAACAACATTTCAAACCCTGGAAATAGCTGTTCTAATTTATTGTCTTCCCTCTTCCGGTCCCATGTACTCAGCTCTTTCAGCTGTTCTTCACGTGACCTGTTCAAGGTCTTCTAAAAAATTTCAGGGATTTATAGCTTGACATCAACATCAGCTATTAAATGTGGCTTGCTCCTTTGAGAAATGTACTGAAATCCATCTGGGGACCAAGCATCGTGCAAGGTGCTATGCCTGGGTGCTCAGAAAAAAGGAAATCACTTCTACAAGAGTTATAATTGAAAGAGCTTGAACTAATAGTCTTGTTCTAGCAGATTTTGAAATGTATAAATCTCCACCATCTGGAATGAATGATCATATTTTATATATTGATTCATTCAGCCATGAATTCAAAAAATACTCACTGAACATGTATTCTGTGCCAAGGATTGCTGTAGGCTCTGGAAACTGGGACATTCTTTTTTGTTCCATAGAGAATCAAAGACCTAAGATCAAAACCTGGGGAGCAGGCCCGCTTCTGGTGTCCTTTACTAAACCAACTAGCAGGATTAGGATTTGGCTGCCCCAGCTCTCTGAATACGGCTGCATTTCATTTCTTCTCTACTTAGCAGTAGTTACGTATTGCTGTGACCCACAAACTCACACTTCGGGATTCCAGCCACAATGTCCGTTTGTGTTGTTTGGTAGTCTAGAGCTCCTCTCTTTAATAACTTTGAAAGATAAGGCCAGTGGGGTGAAATGAATAACTATAGTTTGAAGATGTGCGAGAGAATGGGCATCAAATTTGGTACATTCCACACTAACCAGGTCTTTATTAAAATTTTGAACTAGGAGAAAAATTCAAAGGGCCTTAGAATCAATTCCACAAACCCTTCAGGAATGTGCTTCCAGTCAGTAGCTTCTATGAACTGGGCATAGCTCTGTGCAGCACACATTTCTACACACTGTGCAGGATACAAAGGAGACTCAACCGTGCTTTGGTAGCACTTAACACTTAGTTGGGAACAAGAAGCACACATAGGAGAATATCTTAAAAATCCCACACACATCACTGTACAGAACCACATCCATGCTGCTGAAGTGGTTGGTGCACAAACGAAATCAGGCAAAATCAGGGAGAAAGTGGGTTCAGGGAAATGTTTGGCAGGAAAATCGAGATTACAAAGAAGGAGAAGAGTTAGAAGGTGAGTAGCCCAGGCTGGAGGGAGAAAGGCACTCAAGTGGATCTGGGCCACCACATGACCAAGACCAGTACAGACCAGGCAGGTGCAGAGAGTGTGTCAGCTGTTTGGGGAGGCTGGGCCCCGATCCCTTACTGATGTTATATACATCTCCATCACTCCAGGACTTACCACCTCCACTGGGCACAACCAGGCTCAGCAGAGAGGTTGGGGCAGTGTGTATCGCCCCACCCAGACACTTGTTTTGTAGATGAAGAAATGGAGACCTAGAGAGAGGAAGAGGTTTGTCCAAAGTCAGATAGCCACAGGACTGGAACTCAGGCTCCTAACTCGCGGCCAAGTGCGTTCTCTTCTGTATCAAGCAGCCCCTCTGGTTGCCTGATTGGAGGGAGGATGTCAACGACGATGTAGTGATAGTACCTTTAACAAGTCAAGGAAATAGGTTCAGACTGTCCTATCCCAAGAAAGAAGAGTAAGAGGGGAAAAGAGGTTTTGAAGCTGCTCGTGGTGTATGCATGAGACGCAGGGACACGGGGAGTGATTTCTCTGAAGCTGGTGGACAGAACCTCTTCAGTCACCCAGACCAGGAGAGTCTGAATTGTCCTCTAAAGGTCAGCCTTCCAGATCTACATCTGCAGGAGAAGCAGGGTCACCAGTGAGAGCTGTCACCCTGTCTCTTCTCTAATTGCTTTGTCCGGAATTCTTAGCTTCAAGGCAAGACATCCACATAATCACTGTTACTGTTCCCTGGGGAAAAAAAGAAGACCACCGTTGAGGCTCAACACCCAGGAGTCACCTTGACCAACCGTGCTCAAGGAAAGAAGACCTCTGCCCAGCCACAGGGTGATCTTGATGACACATCAAAGTGACATTTTCAAGGTCTGGGGTACCACAGGTAGTTCTGCTGGCAAAATAGGGGATCTCTTTATAAGTCAATCATCAGAGTTTCCAGAGGCACTAGATGCCTCCATTCACCAGCAGAAAACCTGTGCCTCCCACAGAGTGAGAATATCTGAATCTTGTTGTCAGGAGGCCAAGAGAAGGAGAGAAAGAAGATGAGGCCAATGGGCAAATGGTCCCCCTTTGGTAGCTGAGGATTTGAGAGCTCACTCTGGCAGGGCTGACCAAGCATAGAGAGTTGGTGTGGCGAGGCTCTCTCCCAGTTCTTGGGAAAGATCTCTAAAGTGTTCTCTTCTTGGCATTTGTGATTATTTTATCCGTGCAACCATGGTGCAAATACTGCCACCACTCTAAGCACCCTCAGCAACTCATCTGGGTTTGCCTAAGGGCCGCAGCACAGGCACATTCTGGGGTTTCTAGCTCTGCCCCCTTTAATACTTTTTTCTTCTTTAAGTGTTGGTGGAAAAGGGCCATGGGACTACATCTGCAGCTGAGCCAATAGGAAGTGACTTTGTATGTACATGGCTGCACACTCCCCAGCATGGTGGGAGCGGGACAGAGAAACAACGGTAGAGGAGTTGTTTTTATTTTAGTCATTAAAAAGCCATGCTTAGTCTTGTTGGGGAGGTGAGAAGTTGCTGTGGCAGCCTAAAGGGCGATTTCATTGTAGACAAAGTTGAACGGGCGTGGGGTGATTTCAGGCTCCCTGGAACTCGCTGTCCTCTGCTTTCTCCCTAGCTAGCACATCTGCTTCCATCACCATCGCCTGCCCACTGATAACTGAAATCCCTTTAATTGAGAATATAACCATGCATCCATCATGAGAAAACTGAGTTAGATTGTAAATGTCTCAGGAAGTCTGAGTTAAATTCAAACTAGGCTGTAAGTGAAAGATACTAGATTATTTTCTGAGAGTGGATTTCAAGGGCTGCGGGTAAGTAAGAGTAGCTGCCCATGACATGATTTGAGAGGCCTCAGCACAGGTTCCCTGCACTCAGATTTACCGACCATCTCTCATTTTCCACCATGGCCTAATACCTTTACGGATATATCTGAAATAATTTGTGCCCTAATACTATATAAATGAACGCTTAGCAAATATTGAGCAAAATGTAACAAGATGAGCCATGGGGAGAGGTTGAAGCAATTTTCTCATTTGAAAATTATGCTAATGTGTCCATCTATTCCCGAACTTGTGTGGTTTGCACAAGGTCACAGGCTGAGTGTGAAGCCAGCTCTTCCAGAGGGCTCAGGAACCACTCTTGCTCCCCTGGCTGTCTATGCACTGAGAGTTTCTATATGTTGGCCACCTCAGGGGCTCAAAGACACCACTTCTCAACAAGGTGGAAAGTGCTCTTAGGAGGGGAAGCCTTTTGGAGATAACGGAATAAAAAATAAGGCTTTTATCTGTTTTGATTCTACAAAGTAGGCCAGTGGTGGAAATGGGACTAAGGTTCCTTTCTGATCCCTGTTTGAGAGTTTTTACCAAAACTATCATCCAACTTTATCATCGATCTTCTCCATCTCGGTCTGGGGCTGGTTCTCTTTATTGGCTTTGAAAGGTGAACCACCAGCCCTTGATTTGGTTTTTCAAATTTGGAGATCAATTCCCTCAGGTTTGGAAAGATCTGTTTTCGGGCGCCTTCCACAGTCTGCAAAAATACAAGGAGGAGATCACTCATCATCGTGCAATTGTGTGAAATGTAACACTTCTCAAAACAGCGGTTTTCTGGGCGGCCTCTGAGCTGGCAAAGCAAAAACAAGTTGCCAGCAGTTTATGCTTAAGAGCTCACACCAATTGCAATACACAAAAATGCTTGTTTTTAAGACAACCTCTGACTTGAGCTACTCTGAGTAAACAGGATTAGCAATCAAGGGACCACCTCAGTCTGCAGTATTGAGTGAGCCCCATCCTTGAAATGCCTGGCCATGTCTGAGTACTAACTGATTTGGAGGGTTCTCTGTTTTGTCTAGAGTATTAAGGAATTATCCAGAATTTCCCAAAGTATGCACAACAAACAAACATTTTTAAATAAGTTGTTTTTTAGAAGACATTTTATTTTGAAATAATTTCAGACTTGAAGAAAAGTTACAAAAATATATTTTCAATTTCCATCTATATGCTTCACTCACATCCCAAATGTTATTTTATTATATTTGCTTTTTCTTCTCTCTTTCTAAATATATAAACATATATATGTATATATCTATGTCCATATATATATATATACATAAAATATTCTTTTAAAAAAACCTTTTTAACCCTAAACACGTCAGTATTTCTTAAAAAAGCAAGGATGTTACATACCCACTCTACAATGATTAGAATGAGGAAATTGATCTTGATGCAATACTATATTTACTAATCTATAGACCTTATTCAAATTTTGTCCATTTGCCTCAATAATGTCCTTTTATAGCAAAAGAAAAATTTCCTATGTATGTATGTATGTGTGTGTGTGTTTGGGGATCATTGTATGTTCTAAACTCTTTCAGATATTCACAATGAACATTAGCATATTGACGATGCTGAGAAATCTTGCAGTAAAAAAATCTATTTAACCCTGTGTGCTAGTGTTTCAGAAAGATTATTTCCGAATTCTCTGTTAGTAATTAAAGATTCAGTTACATTGGTTATACTCTGCTCCCTAAGCCAGAGAAGTAAATTCAAAAGGAGCAAAACAGTTTTGCTGCTTACCTCTCAGTAAACCAGAAAAATTAAAGGAATTCCCAAGACTGCTAGTTGACTGTGGCTTCCCTTTGTATTTTCATACGACTATGGAGCCCACTTGACTTCCCAGACTTTCAGACCTGTCCCCACCTTCCCTTTCTACCTCCATCCTGGTCATTGTTTAGTCTTCTAATTCAACAGTGGTCATACATGGAGTCCAGGTTGGTGCGTTTGCCCACTAGAGGAACCAGGGTCACATGCCTCTACAATTTTGAATAACAGCCTTGGTTATTAAAAAATAGGACCAGACTCATGTCTTCCTATGTCTCTCAGAGAAAGACAAGATTAGCTCTTGATCTGACTCTAACTGTGCATGGCCCTTCCCTTTTTAGAATGCCTTCACATGGCCACATCTCATATTCAAGAGGTAATCTCAGGTTCTTCCCTCCCAACTTTTTGTCATTGTTGTCGTTGCAGGAGTTCTTATTATATTCTTACCTGTATAATGTACCCATATTTCTCTTTGAAGATTCGGTATGTGTAGACAAAACTTTTAAACCTGTGGAAAGATGACTGTGTGAATCATAACATTCTTATAAGCAAAACCACATAACCTATACCACTATATTTTGCGTGCAACGCCTTTGTCAATCTTGGATCCCGAAAAGAAACTGATCGTTTTCAGGCTTTCTCATCTGTGAGACTTTGAAAGAGACAGAGGTTTTGAAATGAGGACCTTTGTTCTGGTGGTGGAAGTCTAGGCTGTAGCAAAGAGCATAAGGAGACAGAATTTACAATCTCCAAGTTCTTGGTGCTTCTCGCTAGTTTTTTCACTCAGCTCTAAGTCGAAACAACAAACTAAACACCATTGAGCCATTCCTATATTGTTTATTAAATGATGTGTCAATCTCATTAGAGGGAGCATCACTAAAATGGAGAAGGTTGGGAATTTTGTCCAATGAAGTGATTGCGCTCTTGCTCCTCATTGGAACAGGAACCACTGTCTAGGTAAGCTAACCAGAATTTAGATAACAGATCCAATCTAGCAACTTCTGAAACAAGAAATAGCATACCTTACCATAGTTCTTCAATTCCAAAATATCATCAATCGTAAGATACAGTATCAATTTAATGATAGCTTTCCAGGAGAAAAATGCATATGTTAAATATCTTTAAACATGTTCTGATTCCACAGAAATATTAAAATGTAAAAAATGAGAATCAAAGACATTGACATGAGGTTCAAATTATCTGATTGATCCCCTCCTACTTGCATCCATGTCGAAGAATCAAATGACTGATCTTTTGACTGAATTGGGAAGTCAGACACTACGTATGGTTTTAAGGTGCAGGAGACTTCATTGCTGTCTGTCTGGAGACTTCAGCAATTGACTTCCCAATCCCAAGTTTTTGTGGAGTTTCCTAAGGCCGAAATAAGCCAGTGGGTGTCCCCAAATCACATGGCAAGCACCAAAAAGTTTTATGTGAGTCCTTGTCCCCATGTGACAAAGTATCCCACAGTCTGGGAAGACGTCTCAAAAACGTCTCTTCACAGAAATATTGTTCAAATAAGAATCCAAACAAGGTCCATACATGCCATTTGATTGATCACACAGTTTTCTGAAACCCAACTATCATACATCCTATGTTAGATTCCTAAGTAAATGACTTTATTTTTAAGTACATTGCTGTATTATCAGCCTGAGAAAATCTTCACTAGAGGAGAATGAAAGAATAAAACAAATGGAAGTTCTATGTTAATTAGTCCATAAGCCATACACTTCAAGTTGGAAAGAAAGACATTGCTCAAATACGGTCTTATTTTTTGCAAAGTATTTTTAATGAAATAACAAGCCACATTGCAACAATGCTTTACAAGAACTTGTGATACCTATATGCATTTATTGTGGAATGTTTACCAAAAAAAAACGCTATAAAAGATTACATAGCAGTGAGATTAGTATCCATATTATATGACTATGATATTATTGGGTAACTTCATTTTTAATACTTGCTGTTCTAATTACTATTTTATATATGCCATTTATAAAACTTTTAAGAGAAACATGGCTTCTCAGCGTGCATTTACACTAAAGAGAGGTGAAAGAATCATGCTTCCCCTAGGTCTCCTGCCCCCATCACCAGTGATGACGGGGGAGCCCTTCCTTAACCCCCAACACTTGCAGTCTTGCTTCCACTCTCTCTGCCTTAAATCCATTGGGCTAATCTCATCATGCCCTTTATCTCTGTTTGTCGGTCATTTACAAGGACCCCAGTATTGCAGGTCATCTTTTTATCCTGTTTTCTAATCCTGCGAGGCTCTGCACACCCTCTGTTGTGTTCCTTTCTCCCCAGCTCCTGAAATCCTTCCACTGTGCTCTCTGGAATTCAAAGTCGACCATCATCAAAATCCCCCAACTCTTTAACGTGTTCTCTAATTGTCCCTGTCACCTTCTTGCTCTAAAGGAAACTTGACTCTGCTCTGAGGACACCACTTCCCCTGCACCCCTCTAAAAGGCTGCTGCTGCGTCCCACGGCTCTCTCAACTGCAGGGCCTAGAGGTGAGGCCAGTGTTCTCCTTGCTCTATGGTTCTTCACTGTGGTTTCGCTTCTTCCTCCAAATCCTCAGCTCTGAGTTTCATGTGATTAGATTATATCACTTACTACCCCTCATTGTTGCTGACATCTCCTGATCCCTGGGTTATTGTCACTCATTTCTCCAGGTTTTAGCTCCTAGCTCACTGTAACTATCTTCAATACTATTTCTGCCTAACTTTTCAGCAATTTCAATTCACGTGTATCTTATCCTTCTACACTCCAATTTCTCAGTTCCTTGAATTCCTCTCCTCCAGTGATTTTGTCCTCCACCTACATCAGCCACTCACTCCCACGTTCATAACTAGGACTGGCTACATAATTTATGGGGCCCAGGGCAAAATGAAGATGTAAGGCCCCTTGTTAAAAAATTGCTAGGAATTTCAAGATGGTGACAGCAAAGCATTAAACCAAGTACTGGGCATAGGTTGAAGCTAGTCCTGCTCATAACTTTGACCTTGTAATTGCCAGTAACTGCAACTCTTTCATGATGTGAATTTCATGTATTCCACTCTCTTTACCCTACTTCCCATCTTTCCAGATCCCTTCCTCTAGTATGCTGACCCCAAGAATCCCTTGATTGCATAGACCCTCCAATCCATTGATCCTACCACTTTTCACTGTTTCTCACTTCTTCACTCCCTTCTTTACCCAGGTAAATTGCTTGTCCACCATTATAATATACTCCTTTACCATCTTTCACTTTATTTACTCCATTAGCAAAACCAAAACCCTGATTAAGCCCAGCTCTCTACAGCCATATGCAGCTGGGGAGAAATACGCAGCTATGTTGACTGATCTCACTTTAGATTAATGATCACAAACGTCAAGTGGGCTCTTGGCCTTCAGGCAATAATTTTCTTTCATATTCTTCTCAACAATGATTCTACACCATCTCCTTTCTTCTTAAATCCTCAACACATCACTCTTAACTGATAATTTCACTTAGAAATGATTAAAGCAATCAGAAGAGAATTTCCAGAGTCCCGTCATTACACCTATTAGCAAACACATTTGTATACTCTGCCTTTATTACAATAGATGAACTTTGCATGTGGCTCTCTAAAGCTAATCCCTCCCATCTCCACTGGATGCGATCTGCTTTAATCTATTCAAGGCCATAGTTCTACCAATTTTTTCCTCTTTCTCTCAAATCATTAATTATTATCCTTTACACAACAGCCAGAGTGGTCCTTTAAAAAATGTGAGTCAGAGCGAGGTCCAAGATGCTAGTGTAGGAAGATCCTGAACTCATCTCCTCCCACGGACGCACTGAATCTACAGCTACATATGGCTCATTTCCTTCTAAAGAAGATCTGAAAACAAGGTGAACTGTTTCTCCACAACAAAGGATAAAAGGACCACATGAGAGAGGTAAAACAGGCAGAGACATGGTAACGGTAGTAGGTCAAACACTTATAAAGGTACTATGAAGGTTAAAAGACAAAAGTAGTAAAGTTAATTAAAACTACAATAATTAGTTAAGGATATATACAATAAAAAGACGTAAAATGTCACATCAAAAACAAAATATGTGTGTGGAGGAGGTAAAAATGTAGAGGTTTGGAATGTGTTAAAATTTAAGAGGCTATCAACTTAAAATAGACTGATATATACAAAAATAATATGTGTGCACTTCATGGTAACCACAAAACAAAAATGTGTAATAAATACACAAAAGAAAGCGAGAAAGGAATCTAAACACAACATTAAAGCAAATCATCAAAACACAAGGAGAGAAAGAAGGAGAAGAAAGGAAGTCAGAGGAACTACAAAAACAGCCAGAAAACCAATAAAAAAATGGCAATAGGTACACACCTATCAATAATTACTTTAAATGTAAGTGGACTAAATTCTCCAATCAAAAGACATAGAGTGGTTGTGTAACTGCTAATCACACATTGCTGATTATTAACCTATAAGGTAACCAAGCTATTGTACAAAGGCCACAGGGACAGGTTTGAACATATCTAAGCAGGTTCTCAAATCTGACATGAAACTTTGTTGACATTAGAATGAGTTATTTTCCAGGAAGCAAAAGGGATAGGAAAGCCACCAGAGACCAAAACCCATTGTTAAGGAAGGAAATAATTTTGGACCTTGTGGGCAGAAAATAAGATGAGAAGTCTGGAGAATGGATGCCAGACATAGCCTGACCCCCTTCTTATTCTCCCCTCCTCCCTATATAACAGCCTCAAGATTTTGTGCTTGCTTAGATGATCTTTGGGACATGAGTCCAACATCTTCTGATTTTGCTAGCTAATTGAATAAATCCCTTTCTCAACCACTGACTCATCTTGGAATTGATTGGCATCAGGTTGCAGTGAGCAGAACGAGCCTTTTCTTGGTTACAGTTGAACAGATAAAAAATCAAGACTCATCTATATACTGTCTATAAGAGACTCACTTCAGAAGTAAGAACAAACACAAACTGAAAGTGAAGGGATAGTAAAAGATATTCTATGCAATTGCAAATGAAAAGAAAACTGGTGTAGCTATACTCATATCAGACAAAATAGATGTTAAAACAAAGACTGTAATAAAAGACAAAGAAGGGCATTACATAATGATAAAGGGGTCAATCCAGCAAGAATATATAACATTTACAAATATATATGCACCAACATAGGAGCACCAAAATATATAAAGCAAATGTTAACAGACCTAAAGGGAGAAATTGACAGGAATACAATAATAGCAGGGGACTTTAACATCTCACTTACATCAATGGATAGATGATCCAGACAGAAAATCAATAAAGAAACACCAGCCTTAAATGTATCATTAGATCAAATGGACTTAATAGATACATACAGAACATTCCACCCAAAAGCAGCGGAATACATATTCTTCTCAAGTGCACATGGAACATTCTTCAGGATAGATCACATGTTACGATACAAAATGAGTCTCAATAAATTCAAGAAGATTGAAATCATATCAAGTATCTTTTCCAACCACAAT